GCAAACAGGTCCACGACGTAGGGAGTGGTGAAGTAAGTAGTGAAGGTTAGCAGTGTGGAGATTGGGAGTGGATTAATGTATCTGCAATACTTTTCAGAGTAAAGTAATAATTTTCCCCGAGCAAAGCTCGGTCCCCAGGTACTTCCCTTTAAATATGAATACTCATAAGGTTAACATGGGGAACTACAGAGCCACTGGGGCGGAGCCCGGAAGCACAATTTTTATTTCAGCTGCAGTTTTTTAATATGGACAAAATGAGAGTTTAAAAATTAGAAATAAAAAATATATTATAGGTTTAAAACTAAAAAATATATCAAATTAATTTTTCAATTATAAAATTAAACTGTCATAACCTAACCTAACTAACCAAACTTGCTGATAATGAAAAAATTGAATGAAGGTTTTACTAATTTAAAAAAAATAGTTCTGTTCATAAAATCTATAGGTATCTATAAAAGAGGAACTATGTATGTATGTGTGTATATATGTATATACGTTATGGACTCCAAAACCACTCGACAGATTGTAATGAAACTTTCAGGGATTGTTAAGCATCTTTCAAGGATGGTTCGAGTAAAGTTTGGTGCAGATCCGTCAAAAGGGCTCTGCCCCAGAGGGTTTTAAGTGGGCCAATGTCAGACTTTTTGATCTACAATGTTTACAAATAAATATAATTAAAAAGCAGATGTTTACTTTCACCAACTGTTTTGTAGGTTTGAATAATCACAACATTCTGTATTAGCAGTCATGATTTGAAATAGTGCCACAGTGTTTCTACAAAGTGCAGCACAGAGAACTATTTTACTTTGTAATAAGTCCAAATGTATTAAACCCCAATCGCAGCACACCTGTGCAGTCAACAACGTTTAAATTCTCCAATGTTAAATATTAAAACATAAAAACCTTTAGCAAACAATTTATGACAACCGCTAATTTGCAACCAAAAGGTGAGTGAGCGTAGCGAACGAACATCAACCTGGAGGCGAGTAAGCGTAGCGAACGAGCTAACCTGAAAACATGTGAGCGCAGCGAACGATTTCCAACCTGAAGGTGAGTGAGCGTAGCGAACGAACTTCAACCAGGACGTGATTGAGCCATGCGAATACTTATGAAGTTAAGCGGGGCAAAGCCCGCGGGTACAGCTAGTAAAACTATAAACAGCTAAAATTCAATTTAATAAGGTTTTAATTATAAAATTAAACTGTCATAACCTAACAAAACTAACCAAACTTGCTGATAATGCAAAAATCTTAGACATAAACTTTGTGCAACCAATGGGTTTCGAACCAGGTACCCATCAGTTTCTCAGCCCGGCATGCTATCCAATCCACTAGACCAGCGAGGCCGCTGGCTGCAAACCGTCTCGTTGCGGTAATGGTGTTCCCTCAGCCAATAGAATGCTCTCATTTTGTCCGTATTAAATAAACTGCAGCTGAAATAAAAATTGTGCAGCCTGGAAGGATTTTTTAGATGAGAATATGCCTATCCTATATGTTAATCGGGAATGTGAGCTATCATCATGCTAAATTTCAGCCCAATCCGACCAGTATTTTCCACGTTCACTCGTCACAAACATACATGATACATCCATACATCCAAACTTTCTCATTTATAATATTAGTAGGATTACTTACTTTATTCGCTTTATGGGAAATTCGCTCAAATGAGGATTTTGCATTAATATAATCAGCGGGGATATTAGCACCTTGTATAGTTGCATGGTTTGAGAGAGGTGGACCAGTTTTGGCAATAAAGAAAAAAGTCTGTTTTGATTTTGTACCAAACAAAAACAACCAGGCTGAAGTTAGCTGTCGAGCATCTGACGAATGCTAGGTCATAAAACTGTCAGGAGGGAACAATAGGAACACTCGCTTCAACTTACAACAGACCAGTGCTTGGTCCTGGTTCTGTCCATGGTTCAGTCTTAGTGTGAGTAGACTGGTGATAATATTGACCCGAAAAATGTTTGTCTTACAATAACTTAAACAGACTTATTGGAAAAGTTATTAATAACTAGCCTATTCAGTACAAAAGTCATAGACAAACACTTAATTTTAATGTACAAGACTTCGGAGTTTCGTGAAAAATTCTAATGCCAGATCAACTGGACTAGCTGCTTTCACTTTACCATTTTACACTTTTAAATCTATCAGTTTCGATTTGTTGATATGTGACTATCACACAATTAGATATATCAGTGTTTACTACTGATATATATTATCAAAACTCTTGACACTTTCCAGGAAGTTGATTTATCAAGCGTTGAAAATAGGTTTTAGCCGGCGATACGGCATGTGCGGGTCTCGGGATCTGCGAGTTAAAAAGTTGTCATTTTCGATTTGTTATTACGTAAGAACAAACAATGGTACCAATATGTGACTATCACACAATTGTAGATATCAGTGTTTACTACTGATATATATAATCAAAACTCTTGACACTTTCCAGAAAATTGATTTGTCAAGCGTCGAAAATTAGGTTTAGGCTCGTAATCCGACATGTGCGGGTCTCGGGATCTGCGAGTTAAAAAGTTGCCATTTTCGATTTGTTATTACGTAAGAACAAACAATGGTACCAATATGTGACTATCACACAATTGGAGATATCAGTGTTTACTACTGATATATATTATCAAAACTCTTGACACTTTCCAGAAAATTGATTTGTCAAGCGTCGAAAATTAGGTTTTGGCTCGTAATCCGACATGTGGGGGTCTCGGGATCTGCGAGTTAAAAAGTTGTCATTTTCGATTTGTTATTACGTAAGAACAAACAATGGTACCAATATGTGACTATCACACAATTGTAGATATCAGTGTTTACTACTGATATATATTATCAAAACTCTTGACACTTTCCAGAAAATTGATTTGTCAAGCGTCGAAAATTAGGTTTAGGCTCGTGATCCGACATGTGCGGGTCTCGGGATCTGCGAGTTAAAAAGTTGCCATTTTCGATTTGTTATTACGTAAGAACAAACAATGGTACCAATATGTGACTATCACACAATTGGAGATATCAGTGTTTACTACTGATATATATTATCAAAACTCTTGACACTTTCCAGGAAGTTGATTTATCAAGCGTTGAAAATAGGTTTTAGCCGGCGATACGGCATGTGCGGGTCTCGGGATCTGCGAGTTAAAAAGTTGTCATTTTCGATTTGTTATTACGTAAGAAAAAACAATGGTACCAATATGTGACTATCACACAATTGGAGATATCAGTATTTACTACTGATATATATTATGAAAACTCTTGACACTTTCCAGAAAGTTGATTTATCAAGCGTTGAAAATTAGGATTTGGCTCGTGATCCGACATGTGCGGGTCTCGGGATCTGCGAGTTAAAAAGTTGTCATTTTCGATTTGTTATTACGTAAGAAAAAACAATGGTACCAATATGTGACTATCACACAATTTGAGATATCAGTGTTTATAACTGTTATATATAATCAAAACTCTTGACACTTTTCAGAAAGTGTAATTTATCAAGCGTTGAAAATTAAATTGATGATGATTTTAAAGAACAGTGTTTGATGTGTTTTGGTTTACAGTTAGAAGATAATTTCACTGATTCTTATGGTAGATGTCAAAATTTGTTCGGCTAACAAATATAATGAATGGATTCAATATACTGAAGGACATTCCTAACCAAATACGTCTATATTTACAAATTGTAGTGCAATATTTTAGAATGAAATATAGATATTTCAACTATGCTAGAGTGGTAAACAGGTTACTTATTTGCGCCCGTAATAGTCGTGTCGTAATAGCTTGGCCATTTCAGTATGAAACAACTAGATTCGACAATAAACACAAACCTGGTTGTTCATACATAAATGGCCTCTCGGGTGAGAAGCACTAGGTATCTGAAACATAAAATCAATTAATATGTTCACACAAGGGTGTAGGCATTCTTATATAAATATTTTTTTTTTATTTTTTTTTTATTATTTTTTTTGTTTTTTTTTTGTTTTTTCATTCATCTAAAAGCTATGGTTTGATCAATCAAACCGCGCACCGCACTTATGCCACCAGGCTGCTGTTAGCCCCTCCCCGGAAGCTTTGCCTCCGAAGTCGGTCTCCCCAGGGGCCGTCAAAGCTAACTGCATACAATGCATAGTCCCTGCGTGGCACAGCCCTCCAAAGTGCGCCCTTATATAAACTTAATAATATATTAATACACTGCTCTTGATTAAGGCAGTGCTATCGGTGGATAATCATGCAGGAAAGAAGGTTACAATAAAGCAAAATGTTGCAGTTGGAAGATTTTTGAATTATGATTATAGTTGAAAGTTTGGATTACAGTTTTAATGTTATTATACTTGTTTTATGGGCAAAAAAACAGGCCGTCAGATGGAACGTCAGCTATCTTCAGCCGGAATGGGCACACGGAAGGGACTAAGGCTAAAGGTGTAGTGACGTCATATCTCTAGTGGTAATGTCTTCTCTTGAGGCGACACGATTACCGTTACGAAACGATGTGATTTCAGCGGCGTTCGTGGCATAGTTGGTAGCGTTCCGGATTGGTGTGCAGGAGGTCCCGGGTTCGAATCCCGCTAGTAGCACTGACTTTTTGTCAACAAATTTTTCATATCAGCAAGTTTGGTTGGTTAGGTTAGGTTATGACAGTTTAATTTTATAATACTACATTTTAAAATTAATTTTATAATTAATTAAAAATTATAAGTAATTATTAATTAGATTTTTATCTTATATAGTTTTTATATTATCAGCAAGTCTGGTTGGTTAGGTTATGTTATGACAGTTTAATTTTAAAAATTAAAAATTTATTTTATAATTTTAAAACAATATTTTATAATTAAAACGTTAATTTTATAACTAAAAAAAAAATAATTTAAATTATTTCAACTTAGCAGTTCTAGCGGCGAACGCTGACACTACAAGATATGTTAGCCTTAATCCCTCCCGTGTGCCCCACCGATCTTCAGCCTGGTACAAAAACACCATAACATAACCTCACTTCTTGAACTGAACACTGAACACTGAACTGCTGGAGCGCTGGAGCTGGAACTCCTGATTCAATTCAAGTAGGCCTAGGCCTTGTTTGTAGTATTTTTGTGTAACGTAGGCTACTTAACAACTGTCATTTTGCTCTTTAATGTTTAATTTGATAATATATACATTTATCTTAAATGATTGAAGTTGTTCCCATTTGTTTTATACCTCCTAGTGACGTGAACCAAACCTTTTAGATGTTTCTGGAGTACATTGTGCAACTGATACAAGCAATGCTTCAGGTTCTTTGGTTTAGTCAAAAGACGCTATCCAATACTTTGAACATTTATGTGAAATCGAACACAGGGAAGACTTTGTCAGTATCATTAGATCCTAAATGGGATGTCAAGAACGTCAAAGAAGTAATTGCTCCTAAATTAGGTTTGCCTCCTGATGAGTTAAAGATAATATTTGCTGGGAAAGAACTTGAAGATTCAATAATCATTGAGGTAACAATGCTAAAATACAGAATAAAGGTTTTTCCTAACAATGATTTAATTTTGTGTCAACTTAGCTGGTTCAAGTTTTGATCCTACCCACAGGCCTAGTCTGAAATCCCCTTTTCAGGTGAAACATCTAACGTTAGGAAACACTGGTTGTTTAAATCTACGCAGAGGATACGGGTCCGGTTAGGCGCCCGGCAGTTAGGAACCTAAAGTAACCAACCAAACTTGTTGATGATAAAAAAAATTGATCAAAGGTTAAATGCTGTTCATAAAATAACATTATAGGCCTAAGTTAAATGCAAAAAATTCTAACAAAAGATGTCCAGTTAAGAAGAAATGGCATTCAAAGCAAAATCCTTGTCAAAAAGTTAAAGGTACCAATCGGAGTTGAACCAGGGAGGGACCTCTTGCATATCAGCCGAGCACTCTATAAACTACACCACGAACACCAAAGACTGTACATCGTATCGTTGTGGTAATGGCGTTCCGGGCCTTATCAACCCGGTGACGTCACTGCCGGACGTCTAATCCACGTCCGGTTACCGGACGTGTATCCTCTGTGTTAAATCTAGCCACACTGATAGGGTCGAAACTTGTCATTCGGAACATTACACATTATTAGTGTACCGGTAGCCTAAGTTAAAGGAATTTAGCCCATTCTTTAAGTTATGGATAAATCGTTCTAACAATGTAGACCAAATTGTTATGACTAGTTAATGTGACAGTGGAAGTCTTAACGTCTTTCAGATATTAATACCTAAACTTAACTTACTTCATTTTTTTCCACTCTCAATAAGAATTTTTTTTACCACTTAAAAATTAGGCCTAGCTTATCTAACCAAATAAAAATAGAACGCATCTGATTCTGACAAGTCGAGTATGCAATGTATTTGAATAAAATGTAACTTAGGTGTACTTAATTCTACTTCAACTTGTGTCCATAATCGAATAAGTAAGTTACTGTGATTAATTAACTCATAGCCTACCGGTACTCTACCTGTCTGTGGTCAACACTGTTTAGTGTTTACTCCTATGGTGACTTGGAGAGCTACTCCGACTTTTATATTTGTAAGTATACCATACTGCACATGAGGCCGAGCTTTATTTATTTCTTCTTTAACACGTTCACTAACGACAAGTTAAAAAAATTTTCACCACAGACCAGTGTCAACTATGGTTGACGTAAGGATTTTTGCCACAGCCTGGCGTCATCTAGTTGACGTATGGTCTGAACTCACAGGATTGACATCAACTATTGTTGACACAAACATCCATTATTATAGACACTTTAAATGGCTTGTTACACATGTATGGTTTATTTTATCGACTTGGATGTTAGTTGTAGGTCTTATGGAATAGCCCCTAAATATGCTGTTCCTGTTGGGTAATTTTTTCCGTAAAATTTTCAGCATTTTTTTTTACATAAATTTCTATAGGTCTCGATGCGTTAGTTGAACTAATCCTCTAGCTGGTGTGTGTTTATCATAGCTGCCTAACCATTTGTTGTGTTTTATATCTTGGATAGGGTGACCCGGGGCAATTCTGGCACGGGGCAATTATAGCAATGGCCTATATTTTTTTTAAATTTCAGCTTTACAGATCAGTGAAGCAATATTTGTTATTTCAGCATATACCTCCTATATATAGGAAAGCATTTTTGTAAAAATAAAATGTTTGCAGAATTTTTTATTAGCGATTAAAAAAGTACTTTCTTCCACAGCCCGAGGATATCGAAACATCGCACACGGCTAATTTTTTTTCCCCTATGAATTTTATATATTTTTTTTTTTATACTCAAAGATAATTGTTCAGACTTAAAACTTCATGAACAAAAATAGTAATAGCAGTTATCCCTTTAAGATATTTAAATTTAAATGGGTGCTATAATTGCCCCATTTTCATATGCTATGGGGCAATTGTGGCAAAGAACCCGGGGCAATTATGGCAGCTATATATCTTTATACAAATAATGTATAAATTAAAGAATAAATTGTATAACAACGTGTGTTATGTGTAATATGTTTCATTTCAGTTCATTTGGATGGCTTTGTAAACACCTTTTGCTTAGATTACTCTATGGCAGCCTGATTATTTTTATTGTTTATTGTTGCTAGAAGTTTTGAGGTTAAGGCCCTTGTACGCTTGTACTGTCTTACCGGTTTATTCACAACTTCCTTATAAATAGAGATAGAACAAAAATTAAAACACCATCTTAAACAGCTAAATTAGGCCTATGCCATGATTGCCCCAATGTCAGAGCAATTTAAACAATAAGGAAAATATAAGGTATTGCTATAATTGCCCCAAGGTTGGGGCAATTCTGGCATCTGACACTCCAAAAAAAAAACCTCAAACCCCCTTAAGGGTAGTTTGAGATTGTTGTCTAAATATATGAAAACACTAGAGGAATAACATAGAATTACTATGGTAATTGTCAAAATAAAATGAAAAATATGTTCACCGCGGTACAAGCAGTTAAAGTTAAGGTTCACGTCTGGCTGCCAGAATTGCCCCGGGTCACCCCTAAAGATTGACATAGGTTAGCCTACTACTAACGGATAAAGACATCGATAAGTTTACACAACGAAGTAAGCGATGGACCAGTGCCGAGTTGACAACAAGACTATAAAAAAAATACATGATTGAATTTTTTTTACTATTAGGCTAATGTTACTTAATAAATATTATTTTATACCGTTGGCCCTAAGGATAAGGTATTGAGATTTTTTCTCTTTTCCTTTTATGTCTTATTGAAACAGAATATAAGTTAGTGTGCAAGTTATTTAACTTAAATAGTGTATCACATTTTTCATAACTTTATTCATGCAGGATTGTGATTTGGGCGAACAAAGTATTCTTCATGCTGTGAAAACAAAACGAAGAACTTCATCCTCTCCGGCAACAAAGCCATTGAATGAAGCCCTTAAAGATTTACAACTTGCAAATATAACAGAAGCTGAGGATGCACCACTAACAGAGGAAGAGGCGGTGGTTGAGCGGAAGAGAGTTCACTTCTATGTGTATTGTGCCTCTCCGTGTGGAGGAGTGAGAGAGGGTAAGCTGAGAGTGAGATGTTCATCTTGCAAGAGTGGAGCCTTCACAGTGGACAGTGACCCAAGGTGTTGGGAAGATGTGCTCAAGCCTCACAAGATATCTGGCCATTGCGAGGAGGAAGCATGCCCAGTGAGTATTTACTTACAGCGTCACGTCAGTTTATGATTGGCATTTTGACTGCTATTAAAATATGCTTAAATGCAAAGTTTTTAGGCAGATCTAACATTATTTATGAAATCCATATATAAATTCTAACCCTTGAACTTTTGAGAAAACTACAAGTCACACCCCCATAAACCATATAGGTAGCCTACTTAAAATGTTCGTCATGACGAGAAACCTTGAGCAAAACTATCCACTATTTCATAGATTGCCCTTTAATTAAGGTCGTTATTCCTTTCTAAAGGGAACTTTCCATATACCTAATGTTAAAAAAATACCTCAGCTGTACTTATTTGTATTCTTTCAATTTATTACCTCATTAAAATCAGGTGTGATTATTTGTTTTTATTACTGTATTTTGTTTTGTTTATTTCAGCTTGTAACTTAACCAATCAATAGTTTTATTTATACTTATGAAGTCAAACAGGGTGAAACCCAAGGGTAACAAACAGTTAGTTTACTAAATATCAGATAGCAAGCGCTTACAGAACACATAATTCATCAACAAAAAAGAATAAATAAACATTTTAACCAATCACCACTACTGACGAAGTATCCACTTTGCAGGGGGGAGGGAGATTTCCAGTGTCTCATGATCACTGGTAAAGTTCTTCACTAATTCACCTTATTTTTTATTACTACAGTACTTCAAATAACTAATTTACTATAGGATTACAATTTCCTTACCTTCTAATTTACTATAAGGCTTATTGTGCCAAAATCATTTTAATGGACTTTAACAGTAACTGTACAGTACAAGAAAAACACACACTTTGTCTCCTACACACATGTAAAAATGACAAGACGTTAGATGCTACATACAATGGATTGCACAATGCAAACTGAGAAGAATATTTCTCCCAGCGCACGAAATATCGCCCTCCCTTGACCGAGCCTGAGTTCATACTGAGCTCCTGTTGTTTAGGCGGGTTGGTAGGGAAGCACTCATGTTCCTTAATTTACTATTTTGAGAGTATTCTAGTTACATGGAAATTAAACTAGAACAAATTACAGGATGGAGCAGTTGGTTGGGCAGAGTTTTACTTCAAATGTAGTGAGCACACGAGCCAGGGAGAGAAGGACCAAGCAGTTCCCTTATACCTTATCAGGGCTAACCTGCGTGAGGTACCTTGTCTGGCTTGCACTGATGTCAGGTAAGAAACTAGGCTTTGACAGTCATTTTTTTGTTAAGTGTTGTGAGTTTATACCAGAGGAATTTTCAATTAAGTTATAACAATTTGCGTTTTAGCTAATTTCCCTATAGGGAAGTAGCTATTACCGTAGGTGGCACACATGGGAAGTCTATTCTGTGTATAAGTCAATGATTGTACCCAGTTATAGTATGACTTGAATATGCCTTTTGAAGTGTCTATGTCCATTCATCCTTTTCCTAAGAGTTTGGGTGGTTAGGCCTATATATTGAGCTTGACAGAGTTTGCATTGTAGCTGGTAGATCAGGTTTTCGCTATTGCATGTTATGTGGTCTTTTATTTTGTACTCTTTGTTGTACGATGTGCTGGTGAAGGTTTCCGCAGGAATGTTGATGCCACAGGTCTTGCATTTGGTTTCATTGCATGGGTAGGAACCTGGGGGAAGTTCAGAATACAATTTACCGTACTTGTTTCATTACTGTTAGTGGTGGTCTGTTTGCTCTATTGCTACCAGCTTGTGTGGAAACTGTGTTAAAAACAATAAGAATGACAAAAAAATCCAGCAGTTTCAAAAATAAAACTGCCAAAATCTTCTAGAAACTTTTGAACCTCGAAACTCTGTAATCAAATCTCGAATCCGAAACTTTTCCAACCTTTTTTGTACCTTTTGTAATTATTATAAAATGTCTGAAACATTCACTTTAACATTTTAAAACCGTATTTCAATGTGTAGTGACCCAGTGCTGGTGTTCCCGTGTGAGGCGAGTCACGTGACCTGTTTGGAGTGTTTCCGCCAGTACTGCGTAACGAGACTACGAGAGCGACAGTTTGTGAGTGATGAGCAGTTAGGCTACACGCTGCCTTGTCCTGCGGGATGTCCAGACTCTCTCATCGCAGAGTGTCATCACTTCCGCCTCCTCACGCAAGAACAGTACGCACAGTATCAGAGGTTCGGAGCAGAGGAGTTTGTGCTCAAGGCGGGCGGAGTGCTGTGTCCTCAGCCTGGATGTGGCGCTGGCATCTTGGCTGACCCTGACTGTATACGGATAACTTGTGTGAACGGTTGTGGTGTGAGTATTACCTGCCTAACTCTAATGTTAGTTCCATGAAGATTAATCTTACTTCTAGTCTGAGCAGTGGCTGCATTAGGAAAAGTTTCTAAAGAAAACAACATGTAGAGCTATGGTAAAAATTATAAGCATACAGGTACATCATTTTGATTTTGATAACATTCCACCAAGAACACAGATTGGATTGGTGTGCTGAAAGATATAGATTACTCATGTGAATTAACCCAAACCTACAAAGAAATACCCCAACCGCATCAAATCTGTAGACTAAGCAAATTTTCATTTGCCTGATTGGCTTTTTACCAAAATATTCCCTTAAAAAATGTCAGATTTATTCCCTAATGACATTAGGTTTAATGACTACTAAGGTTTGCTGCTACAGTGAAGGCAGCCTAATGACTTGTTTTTTTTTTATTAAAACTTATTAGTTTATGAAGTAGCTAAATGAATTTTCCAAATGTTATCCAAACATCCTCATATCCAAGCAAACTGCAACAATTAAAATAATTGTTCTCCATAAGGATAATTTGGGGTTCAATGTATTGTGTTAAGCACTTTAGTTACTGAATATCGTACAACAATCAATTAACTGTTTATTTTAAGCTCCATACAATGACTGTAATGAAAATTGGGCATATTTCATCACTGTTAGGGGTAACATTTTTACAAATAAATATGATCATCGTACACATAAAATAAACCTTTAACACCAATGCCCGATCTAGTTAGTTCGCAAAATCATAGTACAATCGGTCATGTTATCGCTTTAACCAGACACCGTGCCACATACAGTAACAGTTTTCTTCCTATGGGAGAAATTTAATAAATATTAACACTTGAAACGAAATAGGATCTCTCTTTACAGAACCGAATTAAGGGTGCGCTCTACCTGACTTGTCATTAATGCAAGGGTTTAGGATCTTGTCACTGTCGGCTTAGTTCTTACCCGATTGAAAATATGTTATTGTTAATTTATTCATTTCTTATTTTTGTAGGCTTGTATCGTTTTAATTTTTTTGGTAATAGTAGTTTTTTAAGTGGGAAATGACTGGTAAATACGTCGAAAAACACTTTTTTCTTTAGCATTTTAAACATAAAAATGAATTGTTAAAAGAAAATTAAAACAATAGAGTTATAAATATGAATCTAATGAGTAAGGAACATTCTTCAGATGAAAAAAATTTAAAAGTTAACTGAGTAATTTGAGAGGACCTAAACGTCTGCAAGCGCTTTTTGCGGCACTGTTCAATGGCGCAACATAGCTATTGAAGCCCGAGCTGAAATTTCCGATCTGAGGTAGAGCGCACCCTTGAATGTATTAACATTGACCTGCCTCTCTTTAGTTTTGCAAATTCTCCAACCCTTCAAAAAAGCTGATACAAAGAAAAGGTTACAAACTGATTAATACACCTGTGTGTCCTTGCAGTTTGTGTTCTGTCGATTGTGTCTGCAAGGTTACCACAACGGAGACTGTGACTCAAGAGAGCAAACAGCTGCGGTTGGCAGCAGCGGTTACTCTGTTGATCCGCACAGGGCTGGAGCTGTGAGTACATAAATAACAGTATCATTACATTAACCTAAATCTACATTTTAATTACCAATATATACAGGGTTTAAATAAAAAAAGTTAATGTTTGATCTCATTTTAATGCTGTTTACTAATTGCATGAGTGCCGGTCATTTACAATTTTGATATAATAATGAAAGGATTAACAAATCTTATAAATTGGCTAAATATGTAAGGGAACTACCAAAAGACATCAATTTAATTTGTTATTCAACTAATCATCAATATTGGTTCTGTTTGTTATGTAGGCAAGATGGGATGAAGCCAGTAGAGTGACCATAAGAGTGATGACCAAACCTTGTCCTGAATGTAGAACAGCTACAGAACGTGACGGTATGTATAAATATATCACTAATTATTATATGATATATTAGCTGCAGTTTAAAGTATACCAGCAAAATTACAAAAGGAAACAGTTATGCTGCATTTAGACAAAGCCAGTTGGCGGGAAGGCTACCTGCCTTAGGGAACTTAAATACTATAGAAGGAGGTAACCTGCCTGCTCTGTTGGTCTTGTGTAGGCTAAGATAAGGGTAGGCCAGCCTATACTAAGTTGCCTATTTCTGTTTCCTGATAAGGAGTCTGCGAGTCCCTGATATTTTTTAGTTGGCGAGGGATCAATTTGGCTAACAAACAATTTTTTGTCCAAGCTCGGGTAAAATTATTGATCAAAGCTCCCTACAAACAGCTAGATTTTTTTTTTTGTGAAAGTAGAAAACAGTTGATACGCAGAAGATACACAATCAAAAAATGACTTTTCTGCGTGATGGCGAGAGATGCTCATTGTTTTTTTTTAGGGATAGACGGGATTGAATTTTTAGTTCGGGACGGGACGGGATTTTAATTTCCTTCCCGATTTTCGGGACGGGACGGGACGGGATTTTTTTCTGTGCATAAAAAGAAAGTCTTGAGTATTGCAGTTACCAAAAAAGGCATACGAAATCAATGTTTACCGTTTGTGGCACTGATCTATAAAAACCAAAATACCCCCGCCGCAGCAAACCTGCCAACTAAGAGAATTTCCATTTGTATGAATTGATTTTCAGTTAAATATATTTTAATAACATTAGGTTTAACGAGTACCTAGGTTTGCTGCTACAAGGAAACTAATAAAGTGTGTTTTTGAGTAAAATATTTATAGCTTAGTACAAAATAAATAAATTTGCCAAGTTTGATCAAAATACATCCATAAACAAGCAAACTACAACATTTGACAACATTCTCCATGAGAATAACATGGGAATTTTAAATTTACAATTTTTTTAATTTTCTCCGTTACTAATAATCGAACAAAATACTTTTATATACTAAATTATTTGTTTTTTTATGCTCTTTAAAAAGGTCTAAAGAGAAATCTTGAAATTTTGTGTTTTGAGAAAAGTGAGAAAACCCAATTTTTACCCCATAAAACCCCCCATAAAACCCCCCGTAAAGCCCCGTTCCCATGGTCCGATAGTGCTGGTTCGCGAACTCATTCAAGTTTATCCCGCTTTACACCTTTAAACCAAATTTCATCAAAATCGGACAAAAATTACTCAAGTTATCGCGTTCACGGACGTATATATATATAAGTCTATATATATATATATATATATACTAGGGATGGACGAGATTGGATTTTTAGTACGAGACGAGACGAGATTTTTTATTTCTCATAAAATTTCGAGACGAGATCGAGACGGGATATTCCTTCTCATACACAACGGGAAATGCACGTTCAAAATTTTTACCTGATTTTGTAACATTGTTAGATGACTGTTTAAATACAAAAATAATGATAATAGGCAAGAATATTTACAATCTTTTATTAAAAACATCAGCATAAATTTTTTATATTAATCACGCCTAACTTATTAAAAATGCCTACGATTAGGAAACAAAGTGATATCAGTTAGGATAGAGTTCAACTTATCCTAAAATAAAATAAATCATAAAATAAAAGCAATATTAATTTGTATAAAATAGTTACTTGTTTTGACTTTTTATAGTAATAAAACATTCCTCACACTGCTTACACTTAACAAAACTTCTCAAATGTTATTAAAGTAATATTATTAAAATAATTAAAGTAATATTTACATTTAAAGAATTAATTAAATAAGAACGCCTTCGCAAAGGAAACGCAACTACAACACGCTCCTGTACAATCCACAAATCCACAAATAAGCCGAATCCCTTACAGCCTAGTAAGAAGAAATGCATAACGACAAAGGGTCAGGCTAAGAAAATCAAGGCGGCAAACCAAACCTCTCGCCTGGCAATAATTTCTGATAGCCAAGGCCGAGGTCTAGTGCATTGTATTGACTTGGTGGCTCAGGGAAAATTTGATACCTTTGGCTGTACAATGCCAGGAGCTCATTTGGAGGATGTCCTGAGCTCTTCCCTGAATGCAGCCATCTTGAAAAACTATAAGGAGACTGACTGGATACTTCTGAGGGCAGGGTGTAATAATGTGAAGGCGCATCATTCTATTGATGATAAGGCTGCTATATCAAACAAAATCATTAACTGTTTAACAAGTCTGATAGAAAAATGTAAAAATACTAATCTGATTTTAACCACCCTACCATATCGGTATGACCTTCACAATAGCCACTACCACCACCAGATCATTGCGGAAATTAATAACAATATCCGGGCTTTAGTCTACAAGAACAAAGATGTCAACCTGCTAGATCTATATCTATTGGAAAAGTTCAATCACACTCGACATGGCTACCATATAAACAAAAATGGGAAAAGAAAAGTGGCAAACATGATACTGGATATAATTCAAACCAAATGTCAGGCTACCCAAACAGAAAATGACCCAACAGCCATTAAACATGTCACCCAAACAGTAAATCCTGGGTGTGGAAAAAAGATCACGATTACTGAACAAGACGTGACCAGGGTCATCAACGACCACTGTAACAACAAAGAGGTCGCATTCTCTCACACAATATCTGGTGACTTTGGGAACGATAGGCATATGACAGCTGGGGTAGCTGTTACATTCGCACGGGAATTTGGCAAACCCACTCTATGGAACTGTGTGTCTGACCATCTGGCATACCAGCAGGTCAAAGATGGAGCTGGAGTGTACAGCTTGATAACAAAGCTGGATTACTGGGGGAAGCCCAACCTAAATGATTATGACAGGGCTTTTGGACAGTTCTGCAATGATTTTAAAAGAAAGGGCTACAAATATCTCTACTGCTCTCCCATGGGCTGTATAAGGGATAGAGTAAAAGTAGAACATTTTATAAAAAATGTCATCAAATTCCAAGTGGAGACTAAGGCCCAGATTAAAATTGTTGCATACAACCAAAGATCAGCACGTGTTTTGCGGAACGGCCTGGATCACAACACCTTCATAAAGGAAATGGAGAGGTGCTTGGAGACCTTTTCTTATCTCCAGAGGGAAGCAACCACTAACACCAATAGCACCAGGAGAACAAACTTATGCAGATGTTGTTAGCCGCTCTTCACCAGTGAGTCCACATCACCCACCGCTGATTAATCCAGTGAGCAGAGAGCAGATGCCGACATCAGACGTCCCTCTTCGCCTCTCTATGAGTACCACCACTGACCACGGGAGCCTTCACCTACCAGTTACTCCGGAGTCTGACCCGTCATTTGGTGTCATTAGTGGTGAAAAAAGTCAATCTAGTGTGAAAGTGAGTGGCAATGAAGATGATCGGGCAACCAAGGGTAAAGATAGTAGCTTAAGTCATAGTTTTTTAGAAAAACGGTCTCAAGTCAATATCATAGTGTAGCTTCTGGGCAATTGTATACTCCTACTCGATTAAATCTTCTTCAGGTAAATATTCAATGTTTGAGAAATAAGTTACTTGAACTTGAAAGCTTCTGTGAGGAAAATAAAATAGACATAATATGTCTCTCAGAACATTAGCTTACTTCTGAGGAATTACAGGTTTTTACACCACATGGTTTCGTTCCCGGTAGTTTTTTATTAGAAAAAATTTCAAGAACGGAGGTGCAGGAATTTTTGTTAGAGAGGGGATTGAATTCTGTAAATTTGATATGAGTAAATTTAGTTCAGAAATAGACATAGAAATTAGCTGTGTTAAAATAATTAAAGACAATTTGTATGTTGTATCATTGTACAGGTCACCTCGTGGCAACATAGATATATTTTTTGAGAAACTTGAATTAGCCGTGAAGAAGGTTTTATCGAGGGGGACCAAAGTTATCGTCTGCGGAGATTTTAACATAGAAATGATAACAACTGATAACAACAACTCAATTTTGTTTTTGAACTTATTAAGATCAATTAATTTATACTGTACTTATTCCTCACCCACCAGAAACAATGCCTGTTTGGACAACATTTTAGTTAACTTCTCCCAAGATCTGTATGAAGTTACCTCAGCTGAGGGTCACTTTGCGGACCATACTCCACTCCTTTTCACTTTAAAATCTAATATTTCATATACCAATAAAAACTGTAAAACATCACAACAAACTTCTTATTACCGATCACAGAATAATAATGTTATCCAGCTATTTACTAATGAATTAATAAAAGAGAAGTGGAGTATGGTCGAAGAGCACAAAAACGGCAAGATAAATGTTAATACACTGTTTGATAGCTTCTTTAAGAGATATGTAGACCTTTGGCATTTTTGTTCACCATTATTAAAATGTAAAAAAAGCTAACCTACATCTAGTAAACACAAAGTTAACTGGTATACCAATGAGTTAAGAGTTGAAAGAGACAAAATGCTGACTTTATTTCATATTTACAAAGATTTGTCAAGGAGTGGCTCTGAGCAGACCCAATTGGCTCATAACGCTTATCTCACATGTAAAAGAAATTATAGAAAAAACTTAAAACTAACTAAAAAAATAGCTTGTGAGAAATACATTGATAGTGCAAGAAACAAATGCAAAGCTGCTTGGGAGGTCATATCTCAAGAAAGCTGCAAAAGTTCCACCAAAGTCATCCCTCTTGACCCTGAGTGTGTAAATCAATACTTTATAGAGTCTGTCAATGAACTGGTGAAAGGCATTCCTGACACTAATGTCAGTATCTGTGATTTAATGGGAACAAGACCTATAGCTCCTAACTCCTTTCACTGGACAAGTGTAAATCTGGTTGAAGTTTCGAAAATTGTTTCAAGCCTATCAAATTCAAAAAGCACTGATTTTTATTGGATATCCAACTATTTACTGAAACAGACAATAAATATAATTAAGGAACCACTTGCTTATATAATAAGTAGATGTTTAGAATCTGGCTATTTTTCAAATATGTTAAAATTGTCTAAAATTACACCGGTTTATAAGAAAGGAGACAGAAATCTTCCACAAAATTATCGTCCTATATCCGTTATTCCAATTTTTTCAAAATTATTTGAAACAGTTATGTACAATCAACTTAGCAACTATTTTGAAATAAACAGACTATTTTCTGAGTCCCAATTTGGTTTTAGACCCGACATTCTACGATTTCTGCAGTAATGAAAATTGTCAGTAAAGCACTACATGCCTTTGAAAATAAAGAATCAGCCTTCCTATCCCTATTAGATTTAACTAAGGCATTTGATTGTGTACCGCCTATCAATATCCTTACTAAACTTAACTTTTATGGTGTTTCTGGCGACTCCTTGAAATTAATTGAATCATACTTAATGAACCGTAAGCAATATGTAAATATTATGGGTGCTCACTCATCATTGTGTGATGTCTCCTTGGGAGTGCCGCAGGGCTCAGTTCTCGGACCATTTCTCTTTATTGTAATAATAAATGATCTTCCCAAAAATGTAGGTGTAAATTCTATTATCTATGCAGATGATTCCACGTTTTTTACTTGTAGTAAAAACCTTGACCTCTTGGAGGCCAGAATAACCTCAGCTCAAAACCAAGCACATGAATGGTTCTCAGCTAACAAACTGCTGTGTAATGAGACTAAAACTCAGAATATTTTGCTCAGTCTTTTCACAAAATCAAAACTATCAATCAAAATCAATCATCGATCTAAATCAATCTGTAAAACTGCTGGGAATTCACATAGACTCAAAGCTCACATGGAATGACCATGTTGTAAATTTGTGTAAAAAACTCTCAAGGGTCAATTGTTTGTTTTGGAAACTGAGCTCCATAATCTCTACTGACTATCTGAGGACTGCCTATTTCGGACTCTTTCAGTCTCATATTGCTTATGGTCTCATACTTTGGGGACACTCTGCAAATGTCTCAGATGCCCTGATTCTTCAAAAAAAAATTAATTAGAACCATTTGTCAAGCCAGGCCTGGAGATCATAGTAGATGTCTTTTCAAACAATTGAAGATTCCTACAATTATTAACTTGTATATTTATCATGTATTAATATTCACAAAAACAAATCTAAATTCTTTTTTTATTATCCGTGAGGTACACAATCACAATACCAGGAATAAAAACAAACTTGAAATCCCGCAACATAGGTTAACAAAGTTTGGAAATTCTTACATGGTAAATTGTGTAAAAATTTTTAATAAGCTTCCCGATAATGCTCACACCACTCCTCTTAAAGGCTTCAAAATCAAGTTGTATCAATGGCTTCTAGACAATCCATTCTTTACTATTAATGAGTTTATGGCCACCAAAATAGATAATATATTTTAAGTTTTCAAATTAATGATAAGCATTAACTTTTGTTTGTTTGGATGAAGTTAACCAATTTTATTAATTTAATGTTTATGAAGCTGTTGTTTGGGTACTAGGCTGGAGTTGCAACTTCAGTTTTAATTTAAATATATTTAGATATTATTGATGATTATTATCGATATTATTGATATTATTTGATGTTATTGACTGTATATATTTATGTTGACCATGCCCATCTCATGTAAAAATGATCAACGGCAATAAATATCTTATGTCTTATGTCTTATGTCTTATATGTATTGCGGGTATTGCATTGACTTTCTGCAGGCGTTTTTAATTTTTTTTTTTTTTTTATTATTATTATTCTCGTCTCGATAAAAATCTCGGCCAAAAAGAAATCTCGTCTCGTGTAACGAGATTTAAAATTTCCCAAAATTTCGAGACTTGACCATCTCTAATATATACATATACAAATTTGAACGAATGGTGTTTTTGGCCTCTGGGGACATCAAAATGAAAAAGTGAATCGGTCCCGGGTCTAGGTCTTACCGTGCCACCTACGGTAATAGCTACTTCCCTATAGGGAAATTCGCTAAAATGGGTAACAATTTACAGGTACCTATAGAAACTTGTGACTCGCGGTCACGGTGCGATCGTCAAAATTATGGCGGTCACGAGGTAATCCTCGGTATGACTCGCGGTCACGGCATGATCGTCGGTATAGCTCACGGTCACGGCACGATCATCGGTATGACTCCGCGGTCATGTCGTGATCGTCGGTATGACTCCGCAGTCACGGGGTGATCGTCGGCATGACTCGCGGTCATGGCGCGATCCCGGTATAACTCCGCGGTCACGGCGTGATTGTCAGTAGGCCTATGACTCCGCGGTCACGGCATGATCGTCGGTATGACTTGTGATCACGGCGCGATCGTCGGTATGACTCCGCGGTCACGGGGTGATAGTCGGTATGACTCGCGGTCATGGCGCAATCGTCGGTATGACTCCGCGGTCACGGCGTGATTGTCGGTATGACTCCGCGGTCACAGCGCGATCGTCGGTATGACCCGCGGTCACAGGGTGATCGACGGCATGACTCGCGGTCATGGCGTGATTGTCGGTATGACTCCAAGGACACGGCGTGATTGTCGGTATGACTCGCGGTCACGGCGTGATCGTCAGTATGACTCCGCCGTCATAGCGCGATCGTCGGTCCATGAATCGCGGTCACGGCGCGATCGTCGTCATGACTTTGTCTCCTGCGTTCGCGGACATATCGCTCGCAATAGCGGCGTCATCGACACTCGCGAAGCGGCAAAATCGCCGCCGATCGGACCAAATCCCGTCCCGAAAAATTCCCGAGTCAAATGTTATCCCGTCCCGATAATCGGGAATATTTTTTTCCCGAAAAATTCCCGAAATTTCGGGACCCGTCTATCCCTAGTTTTTTTGGTTCCATGATCACGGAAGATATTAAATTATATATGAAAATCTACTTATGTAGGTATGCCAGAAGGTGTCAAAAGTAGTTATATTTCATGCTGTACATATTTCGAGCCTATCACAGCTCATCTTCAGAAACATTTATATTTATAGAGGATTTGAAATAAATCCCATTGAGCGATGTTTGTTGAGTATTTACAAACGCTTATGTTCAAACAAAGATAAACATTATGCGTATCGTTTGGCCGATATTTGTTACAATTATTTTGTACGCAAACATGGAACTATCAAAAGAGACGGTTTTCATGGCCTACTTAGGAACACTGGAGAGTGACATCACAGAATTAGCTGACTCGCGGTTTCTAATTCCAGCTGTTTGATAGCTCCACCCCTGCTTACAAAAAATTTGTAAACACAGGCAAAACGATGCGCATAATGTTTATTTCTGTGTGTATATAAGAGCTTGTAAATAATCAACAAACATTGCTCGTTGGGATTTATTGTATATATTGTATAAATGCTGTTGAAGATGAGCTGTATTGGGTTCAAAACGTGTAGGCCTACAGCATGAAATAAAACATTACGCTTGATACCTTCTGGCATACCTAGGTAAGTAGATTTCATCTGTAATTGAATATTAAAGGTGTCAAGGCTGTTCAATTTGAAAAATAGCGGGAGGTATTCCCGAATTATTCCGTGACCGCAGAAGTTGTTTACAATTGTAACACCATTGCGGGAGACTATATATACATACACTATTGTGTAAAAATATTGACGTATTAAAATATGTTAATAATCACTACTTTCTAATAAACCTGTTCTTTGTCCCAATATCTGAATAGGTGATTTTTAGCTGACCCGAATTTAAAAAAAATCTCTGTCTTGGAGACCCTCCTAAATCTAGTAGGCTGGATCAATGGCAATACAGAGCTCTAATGTATTCTTGTATGACCCAGGGGGCTGTATGCACATGGTCTGCACCAGATGCAACTTCCACTGGTGTTGGGTCTGTCAGACTGAATGGACTCGGGATTGTATGGGAGCTCATTGGTTCGGTTAAACTTCGACTCCAACAATAGTCCTCTTTAACAATGGTGCCTTACGTACAATGGTTTCTACTCACAAAGAAGTTTTAGGAATATTTAATGTTCGTTAGTCATTAAGCTAGTCCAATTTTTTCGAGTGTGAATACACATTTTGTATTTATAATTAACTATGTTCACATATAATTTGAGTCTTAATAGGCAATCAGTTTTCTGGAGTTTCAGTTTTTTTACAGAGTTTGAATTGTTGGAATGGCCAATCTACTTTATTTACTTCATAAGTGTTTAATACAATATTGAAGTATAGTAAAATAATAAATGAATACAATAATTGAAACAATAATTTAAGTTGTCAAAAGATGTTTGTTCAAGACCAACATGGATTTTGTGTTTGATTTTTATTGTCATTACTATTTTAGAGTTTTTTTCTTGGTGTAATGTGCATGGTACTAGTTGATTACCAGTATGTTCCAATCTAAAAGACATGTTTTCTCTTTATTTTTTAAACTAATAATTAATATACTAATTAAAATATATACATTTTCAATTTTTTTCTTAATTCAATAAAGGGTTTTGTATTTTCTTGAATCCTAGATGTTTTCTAATAAATTATGGACAACTTAGTATTTTCCTTTATTTTAATTTTTTTACAGGGAAATTAGTTTATATTTGGAAATTTTATTGATTATAAAACTATATTAGTGCTCAGTACTTTTGTTAATATTTCAATCATTATTGTATTTGCGCTACATAACAATAACAATGTTTCATGGTATTTTTATTTTGTATTGATCACTTTATCAATAATATTGGTGATATTATACAAGTGATATAGTATATACCTTACAACTGAATTAAAAATGTAAACAATATTGTTTATGTTCGTAAATAAACTATTTGGAAAAAAAACTTCCCTAATTGTGTTTTTTCCGTATTAAAACTTGTGATTAGGTAAAGCATCACCAAGATTTAATTTGGAAGCAAACTTTAAAAACTAGTAAATAGTTAAATACATGTTAGATGTTATTGGTTATTGGATATAGCAAATTAGCAAATTAGCACCAAATTAGGCCGCAGCACTATTATTTTGTTGGCATTTATAAAAACAGCTAATTTGAAATAAGCAGCAACAAAAAGCTGTGATACGCAATGAGAACTGTCAAAGTAGGATTGTTTACAGTTGTTTATGTTTTTAATTTAATGAATAATTTGTGATATTTTGCGAATTTATAATAATTAATTTTTTTCTATTGTTTAAGTGGTTTAGGTGAAGTGGTAGAACATTATAGCTATGGTAGATGTGTAATACTATGTATACCGTAAATTTAAAGAAGCAAATTTTATCAAACTGTGTCCTCCGCCATTAAAAACCCAAAGCTTGAGTATAACTTCATTAAGCATTTTATTCTTATATGCCAAGGACGGGTACTCTCCTAGTCATCCATACATTTAATATTTTAGAAAAATATGAGAGCTCGCCCCGTGGTTGGAAACTCGACCAAAAGTATATTGTGCTAACTTCTCTATTTTCACCCCACGCTGTAAATAAAACATGTTATTGGAATTTCTTCCATTTGTTTTGATTTTCTGTTTATATTTTGTTGTTATTTCGTCACCAACATGACAACCCATAAGGCCCATGTGAATTTTTTTAAATTTTTAATTAATTTTTTGTGTTTATTTTTTAGCCTATTTTAATTATAAAGGGATTCTGCACATCTACAGAAAAATTTCCTTCATTTGTTACCAAACGCGTGTAATTTGGCCCAGTAATATGGCCAGGCTAGCTGTCATAAGTGGTGAACACGTAATGAAATGGCAGAACTGTCCTACGTGCACAAGTGATACGAACTTCATTGATAAATGCTGAGCTCACACTGAAGCAATGAAATAAGAGTCGGGAAGGGCACGGTTCTGTGTGTCCGGCACTAGTGTTGCGGCCAATGTTATTAACATCGGTCAATGCAATTATTAACAACCAGTTGCGGTCAATGAAATAGCATTGACACGAGGGGCGCCTTGCGTGGTCAATGTGTAAACACTATTAGGGTTTTCCCTGTAACATCCCTTTTCTAGCCATCCTTTTAGCCGATTTGTACAATTGAGGTACAAATTTAACAACCAACAACCAGTTTTGAACCCTATTAAAATGTGCAATTTAAGCAGTCCCCTCGTTTATCATACTTTGCCATTGTATATTTCATTTTAATAAATATTCCTTTATCTATTTGTACTGTGTCCTTTGATTAATATGAACTAATCAGTTGATTGAACATCAGTCCTTGGATTAGTCTACATTGTGGAAATGACTGATGAAGTTATGAGATTTCGGAGTGAGTATTTGGGAGCACTAATGATGAAGTCGAAAAGGTCAACAAGGGACATACAAGCTGGAGAAGTTGTCATTGTGGAGACGGACGACAAAAGACGTCTAAATTGGCCTTTGGCAGTCGTAAAAGAACTCATACCGGGTAGAGATGGTAAAATTTGTCTAGCAAAACTCAAGACGAATTCAGGAATAATTTTGGGGACTATCCAAAAAATTTACCCTCTTGAAATACAAAATTTTGAGAAAGAAGAGTTCCTGAAAAATGAAAAAAATTAAGAACAAAACGAAGCAGGATAATAAAGTGATAGATAAGAAAACTGTGACTAGAAGTGAACGGATGGTTAAACAACCAAAACGGTTTCTCCAATAAAAACCTTGTGTTGAGGAACAAGTTACCTTCCGTTCCTCAAGGTGGGAGGATGTAAAAATGACTGATGAAGTATGATCGACGCTCATATTTGACTGGACTTATGCTTAATATTTTATAAATTTGAAAATCAGCTGTATTTTAATTGTATAATTTTGACAGTTTATGTTTACCTTTTGTAAGTTTTCTAGAATAAAAACAATGATGAAATAGCTACATTTAAAAAAGAACTGAATTTTTCTTCATCTTTAAGTTCAGAGTCTAAATGAATCTTTTGGAATTGGCTCCAAAAGTGTAGCCAATTTTTCAAATTTCCATCAAATTTAACAAACTTGATTTTAGGAAGTTTTATTCTAGCTTTTGAGGTATTCGGTTTACTTGAACATGATTTACTACAACTTGAAGCTACATCCTCATTAGGTTTCAAAGTCAAACTGTCAAATTTAGCTTTTATCAGAAAGAACTTATTTAAATACTCATACGATCCGCTGAGTTCTTCGGTGAGTTGCTCTTCCGGGGGGTCTGATTCGAGAAGTTTTTCCAGTAGCTTATCATTGAGTTTGTTAAGTTGGTCGTTCTTTTTCTCTAACAGTTTCATACTTGCTTCAATTTCAGGGTAATCATCGTTGTTAGAATTAAATTTGTCCAAGATAATTTGCGAAAGAGTTGTAAACTATCTCCGAATTACCGTTCTCTGTTTCTTAAGTCGATTTATTTCGATAATTTCTAGTCCTGTCACGGTCGCCATGTTTTACAATAATTCTAACTAGTGTACCTGTTGCTCGAATTCGAGCAATTGCGAAGCATTACATGCGACTCAAAGATTATGGAAATACTCACGATCTACACAACAGTTAGATATAATCAAAATCTTTTGTAAATATCTTATCTTTTTTCAAAAAGATTATCTTGTTTTTTTTAGTGTTTTTAGTGTAAAAAAAACATTATTTCTATTTCTTTTACCTGGTTGTGTTCTATGACTTTTTCTATGTTTCCATTGTTTGCAAATCGGTTATTTAAATGATTGCTCAAGAAATGTAGCACAGTGTTAATTCAGTTTTATTTTTAGCCTATATCAAATTGTCCAAGATTTCTCGCTCTTTTCCATTGTAATAATTACACCAACCCAAGTTTCGTCTACAGATGCAATATGCCAAAGAATATCACCTACGTACAATCTCCAAGAAGTGGTAAAAAAGGCAGAAACCAACCCATACAATAGATATAAGTTAACTCCATAAGAAATAATTTTAAAAGTTACTGTGATATTAGGATTTTCCACTGATTTGGTAATAGAACATTATATTGCAAAACATGACACGATGCAGAAGAAAATCAATTTTAAAATCAGAAAAATCCATTGCAAATACTGTACTTCATTTTGACAAATTCAATAAATCACAATTTAAATATTAACAGCTGTTGCATTAAAAAGTAGTGTAGAATTATGCATATGGTCGTAATGTAAACAAATCTGAAGAGGCAACTTTAAAGGCTTCTTGGGCAGAGACCCAAGAGAATTTACCTCTTTCCTCTTTTTATGGCTCCTCTACAGACCAAGACCTTTCTTTAGAGACCCCTACCAAGTTTCTACGCCCAGCCGTTCTATCAAATTAGCTGTGACAAAAACCCCGTTTTCCTCCATAAGAATAACATGGGATGGGAATTTAAAGGCCACAGGGGCAGAGCCCCAAATGAATTCACCATGTTTCTCTTTTGATGGCTCATCTACAGACCAAGACCTTTCTTTAGACAACTCTACCGAGTTTCTACGCCCAGCCGTTCTCTCAAAATAGCTGTGACAAAGAAAAACAGTTTCAAATTAATATATAGATTTTGTTATAACCAGAAGAATTGTAAAATACATAGTTCAAGAGAAGAGTGTGTGAATCCCACGGCTTTTCCTACCATGTTAATTTTTTAAAGTAAGTTCAACACAATGGTCACAATGGCATGCTAAAATTATCAATCAATAATCAATATTGCATATGTGAGGAAAATGCAATATACAAAAACATGAAAACAATGAGATAAATGCTTCTGTCGCTATAACACTTGTTAGCACCATTAGATAATGGCACTTCCTCTGTGTTACAAAAGATTCACGCAATTCTAGATGACACGGTTGATTCTGAACAGGATGTCATTGATTGGCGGGAAGAGATTGTAAATCAACCATAAAATCAAAATTGTATTGTAAAATTTAAATGCAGCGTCGTCATTCATCATATTATTAGGCTCAATAGATCGGTAACAGTTTTTCTTTCAAGTTGTAAATACTTAGGACTCATTGTTAAAATTTTTTATTTTATAAGTACACATTTTAAAACTTTTAACAAATCTTTCTTTCTTTGCTTATTTCTAACAAACTTGTAGCATGTTTTGCAAGTTATCTAATATTGAAAGAGTTTGATTTTGTTTTTCATAGAAAAAGCAGGTGAGAATATTACAATACCTGACACTACCTTGTGATTCAAGCAGTCGAGAAATTTTCTAAAATTTATCGTCAGGTCCAATAAAAATTGAATAATTCGAACATTGTTAGTATGGTTACGTCACAGTAAAAAATTTCATTTGAACATTTACATAACCGATTAAAAAAACGGTAGGCCTTTTTAACTAATGTTGACATTATCACTCTATTGATATTTGTATAAACTTGCAATCCAGTTTATTGAATCAAATATAATGAAGTATTATTATATTTTTAAAAATATCTTTAGAATTTTAATTTTAAAGCGTTTCTATTATTACAGCGATGTCGTCAATCTACGTGGCTCTTGCTTTAATTCTAACATTTAGTTTAAATTTTTCTCTCGTTATAAGTGATGATGAAGATCTGGATGTGAAAGGACCGTTAATGTTCAAGAACCCAGATGGCAGTCTCATGACAACCGTAAGTATGATCACTATCAATTGACTTTTTAGATTATTTTAAACATTCTTGCCACCAAGACTGATTGTACGAATAATATAATATAATATTTTTAGATTAGAGATTAATACCCCACGTTATTCTTTGTTATCCTACGCCATGGTTATTTTTTATTTTTTTGTTGAAGTGAATGGACCGTGCTGTGGTGTTAACCATGGTGATGATGATGTCTGTGATATAGTATGGTAAATCCTGCATTCATAGCATATGTCAGGCAAGAACGCGTCTTTGCATGGTCCATGCTGTTGACGCTACAGATTACAAACATTTACCACAGTGATGTAGATACGACAATCATAGGTCTTGTCTTGAGTTGGACATGAGATTAGGGATGAGCATCGATAGGTCCGATAACATTCTTGCGAAAACATCAACGTTTTCGGGACTAAAACATTGATGTTTTTTTTTTTCAGTTTTTCGTCTGCTTTCATCTGTACTCTCCAGTAATGGAAAACATCAATATCTCAATACTTGGCCAAAAACATCGGTAACCGACCATCGATGTAAAAAACATTGCACATTGATAGAAATACATTAATGTTTCAAAAACATCAAATGATGCTCATCCCTAAATGAGATTACTTTTATAAATGTGCTAGTGTACCTAGCTTAAAACAAGCGGTTAGCTTGCTGCACACAGTTAAAGCTCCATGGATGTAAAAGTCTCCTTCAGACTGATTAACTTATAAAGCCCAAAGACTTCCTCTTCAGTGATTTTCATGGGTCTGTGGAAAGGACTTTATAATCCTTTAATTGTTTTATCCTTTAATTGTTGCTGTGTATGATAGTTGGGTCTACAAAATATTTTTTTAAGAGAAAACATCAAGATATCCTTTCCTACATATATATACTTTTGAGCAACGTTTGCTTGTATGTTTGCTTGATCTCGAAAACAGCCTCGACGATTTCCTTGAAATGTTGTAAATAATCTATATCTGGCCTAAAAACGTGTTTACTGCAGTTAAAACTTTCAAAAAAATTGAATTACATAAAAAAATAAGTTAAAAGTCAAAAGTTTTTAACATTGCCATTTTTATGAATCATGTTGGTTGAACAAAATAACAGGGAAAAAGTAAACATAAGACTTGTAACATGTGTTTATAATTATAACGTAAGCCATCCACACAGGCCCGTTTTTGAACCTGTCAGCGCCCTAGGCACATCTAATAGTAGCGCCCCTTTGCAATATATTTTTTATTTATAGATATAGATTTTTGAACCGTGAATTTTGTATTTCAACCTGGAGTTTTCAATTTTCCGTGATCGCGCATGAAAACAGTGACTTTCCGTGACCGCGGGAGACGATAATATGTCTACACACGGCCGCGAGGGATGATCAGAATTTCCGCAATCGCAGAAGACGATAATGGTATCTACAGAGCCGCAACGGATGATCAGAATATTGCCACAATCACGGAAGATGATGATAATGTCCACACGACTGCGGGAAACCGCAAGAACTTTGCCGCGATCGCGGAAGACGATGATGATCTCCACAAAACTGCAGGACATGATTAAAATTTTGCCGCAATCGCGGGAGACGATTACCATGGATTCATGACTGCGGGATACGTACGACATCTACAGGACCGCGGGTGATACAATAACTATTTCTACACGGCCACGAGGGATGATCAGAATATTGCCGCGATCACGGAAGACGATGATAATGTCCACACGACCACGGGAAACAGCAAGAATTTTGCCGCGATCGTAGAAGACGATGATGATCTCCACACGACTGGAAGACATTATTAACATTTTACCGCAATCGCGGGAGACGATAACGATGTCTTCACAACTGCGGGAAACGATTACGATGTCTACAGAACCGCAGAATACAATAATGCCGCGATCGCTCAAGACGATAATAATGTCCAAATGACCGCAGGAAAAGATAAGAATTTTGCCTCATTCGCCGAAGACGATTATCTCCATATGTCCGCGGGAGATGATTACCATTTTGCCACAATTGCGGGAGGCGATTACTATGTCCACACCACTGCGGGGGACGATAAGATGTCTCCACGGCCGCGAGGGGTGGTCAGAATTTGACCGGGATCGCGCAAGACAAGGATAATGTCCTCACGACCGCGGGAAAATATCAGAATTTTGCCTCATTTGCGGTAGACGATGATAATCTCCTCACGATCGTGGGATATGTTCATATATTGCCTCGATCATGGAAGACAATTTTATGTCCAAACGACCTGACTGCAGAAAAAAGTAAGAATCTTGCCGCAAACGCGGGAGACGATTACGATGCCTACACGGCCGCGAGGGGTTATCAGAAGTTTACCGCGATAGCATGCAAATAACACCACAAATTTTTTTTAATTTCCAAATTTTTGGCGCCCCCAAAAAAAGCCAATTACCTCGCGCCCTAGGCACGTGCCTACCGTGCCTATTCGGTAAATCGGCCCTGCATCCACAGTATACTAGCAAATTACAAAATACAGTACAAAGGGGAAAACATCAGTTGTTACTATTGAGCAAAGACTACACTGATGTTTAACTTACTCGGTATATGAGTACAATGGAAATAAACTATACCGAGCCATGGCTTGGTCCCCAGATACTTAAAATATATTCAAACAAAGTTAGATACTCTCCCTATAACTAAGTTTAACTTTACCTCATTGTTGTATACTGTGTTGTACAGAAGCAGCAGATAGAGGCTCGTAAGTACAAGGGTGAGTCACACACAGTGACAACTGATGATGGCTACATACTGACTCTCTTCAGAGTCACCCCCGCCAAGCAACCTGCCACTGTAGTTCTACTGCAGCATGCACTACTAATGTCATCTGACGCCTGGGTTACTGATAATAAATCCCTGGGTTAGTGTCTGTCAATATTACCTGTTAATTTTGTATAAATGTAGATGTCATTCGTCAATGAGATGTTGATGAAGGCAGTCGAACAGTTATTCCTTGTTCATCTTGGCAAGCAGAAATTACATAACAAAAGTGAGCATGTTTATTTGTTCATTCTTTAAACGGAACATAAGGTCTGTACATTATGAATTTTTTGACTTGAAAAGTAAGTCAGCTATCACATCTGACTCCAGTACTCTTGAATCCGAATGACTTGCACCAGGTGCATCACATTCACTTGCCATCTCACTAGGCTCAATACAACTTTCTGTGTCAATGGACATCAACAAAGTATAGTGCCGTGTGCAGTGTTGCGTAGGCGACTTGGAGTCATGTTTTGCTCATAAGTACATCCCTGCTACAGATTCGCCCCACAGCCACTCAGTGACTAAAAATTATCTCTGGTTATCATAGTTGCAGGAGCAGGCAACCAAAGTCCTATCTGTTTGTGCTTTGCCTTAGCCTAATACAAGGGGTCTTTAAGTATTCATAGGAGATGGATGTTAAAAAATGTATATTGAAATAAGTTTTATTTGGTCATTATTAGTTTTTGGACGATCTCAATTTTGATGTTTAGCTTTGAAATATACAGGGTGTATAAAAGAATGTTGGGATTTTAAACGGTCGTTGCTCGGGGACTAGTCAAGATAATTTAACGATTTAAATGTCAAATTGAAGGGAAAAGAGCAAAGATTTTTTTCTCCTAATTTGAAACAATTCGGAATAATTTAATGAAATTCAGAATTTTAATCAATGTTATATGACCTTAATACTGGCAAAGTATGTAAGCTTAGGGCGATCGGCAGGTTTATCTGATGCCTTAACTGAATCTTTTTAGGCACAAAGACTAAATTTTTTACAGATAACGTCATAATTCTCGATTTTGATATGATCAACTGAAGACTTCGTCGGTCAATTGATTCTTTCGGGCTTCTGAAGCAGAGTTGTCGGATTTCTTCAACTATGTCATCGCTTGTTTTAGATGGCCAAGTGAATGTTTTTTAAAAACACCATGGTCCCACAAAACTCATTAAACCAGCATCAAATATTTATCATCAAGTAGATTTAAATTTAGTTTATTTTAGCTATCGATATAAATTCTACAAACCACAGATTACACCTTCTGTTGTGCCGTAAACATCGTACTGGTGACTGGCGTCGGGCGTGTGAGTCACATTAGCGGCCTACCACCGCGCAACTGTTTTGCACATGCCAAGATCTAAGTTTCCTCCCTTGCTACACGGGAAACAAAACTTAAAACACCCTGTACTTAGAGGAGGGCAATTCCCTTTTGGTTTATATCATTGCTGTCATCATTAAGTATTTTATTCTGAATATAGTAGGGTGATAACTCTCATGAAAACTTCACCACACTCATTCTTTGTGGTTTTAGATTAAAACTTCACTAACTCGACACTCAATAGCTGACCGGGCTCACGACTAGCTGGCTTTGTCTTACTACTTGTGCGTCTGAACTTTCAAGCAATTTTTCAATATATTTAGTTTTAATTGTTGAATACCATTGAACAACCTCTTGGTAAAACTCTTGGTCTACAAGATGTCGAGCTAGTGAGGTTTCACTTTATATATGATTTTTATAGATTCTATATAGAATTTAAAATATTTGAAAATGCGCAAGAGGTTTGATGTTTGACCTATTTCAGTTTTCTATATTTTCCTATTCAGCGTTCACGTTGACGGATGCGGGGTATGATGTGTGGATGGCCAATTCTAGAGGTAACTGCTACTCTCGCAAGCACACCACTTTCGACCCCGACAAGGATAGGAGCTTCTGGAACTTTGGGTAAAATGTTAAAACTTTGGCTTCATGAGGTGTCAATAACTAATTCCACAGTAAGAATTTATGCAGTTTTAATTTATGTATAAGAAAACATCAATATGTCACAAAATCACACAACTTCACTTCTCGTAATTATATCTTTCATGAACTAGGCGATACAGACCGATGACAAAGGCTTCAAATTAAAATTGATTAACTTGTGGAGTGGTGATAGTCCTATAACCGTCACTGCGCACTCACACGGTGATCACATGGCGGCTGCGTATTTCCTCGGCACCCCATTGCTGCGCACAAAACATACAAACTATTGCCTTCAAGTTTCTAACTCCTACTGCCTCTTGAATCCCACGCAACATGCGTTGTCCATTCCCCTCGGCGGCCATTTTTGGCACTTTTTACTATGTATTTTTGGATCTTTGTAACCGACGCTCCGTCAAGTGGCGCCCCTGGTGTTCTTTTTTTGTAAATTTGTATTGATTTTACTTTAGAAATCAAGTTGTAACTGGAATTTTCCATGTCTCTTAAAAATGTAGTTTTATCACTGTGACATCCGGTTCATATCCATCCAACGGGAACGTCACAAATATATTTTTACGTTTTTTAGCCATTACTGAATTCATATTAGTCCATAACATATTTCTTGACTATCATTTAATTAAAGACTTGAACTATCACAAATTATTGTAATGGTATATTCACTATTAAAAGGAAAAGGAAAACTTTTTTGAAAACGTCAAACAGGATAAAACAAAAAATACTAATCAATTGAACATAAAATGAGCTAGGTGTAGGTATACCTGCCTCAAAATTCAGCATTACAAACCCAAACAGTAGAAGAATCTTTGGTTGTTTCTTGCTTTTATTTGCAATAGTCACCGATTGGCTTTTTAAGAATTCCCTCACGATCAACACACTGTAAACCAAAATTACACTCTTTAATATTGATGTGTTGTTCATATAATAGAGATACAAGCCCTAGGGATCAAAAGTTGAAATTAATAAGTTAACAATAATATTTGACTATATTCATATTCATATATATATTAATAGGCAAGCATGTTTCTTTAAAACCTTTTTTCTCAGCTCGTGTGCATCGTAGGGAAAATCTACGCATACCGTTGGAAAGCTATTTTCCTGTAGGTGTGCAGAATCCCTTTATAAATTTAAATAGGCTCAAAGATAAGCACAAAAAATAAGTTTAAAAGTTGTAAAAAATTAACATGGATCTTATGCGTTGCTATGCTGGTTACGAAATAACAACGAAATATAAACAGAAAATCAAAACAAATGGAGGAAACTCCAATCACATGTTTTATTTACAGTGTGGGGTGAAAATAGTTAAGTGAGTACATTACATATTTTTGGTCGAGTTTCGACCACTGGACATTACTCGTATTCATAAATAACCCGTTCTCATTCTATTAGGCTTCATGAGTTGGGAACCAAAGATTTGCCAGCAGTGATTGACTACATACTCAAGACTACAGGACAGACCAAACTACACCTTGCAGCACATTCTGGAGGCAACTCCATGGCCTTTGCGATGGCTTCTCAGAAGCCAGAGTACAACGACAAGCTCAAGTCACTCCAGGCTCTGTCTCCCTTTGTGTTTGTCAGCAAGATAGCCGAGATGATCGGACCTGATGGCATGGTGGAGGCAATGACTGCTCAGTACATTGTAAGTACAAGCTGAATGCCACGGTAGCACTCCTAGGTGAGATTC